TGGTGGGGTAACTGTAACCAGGACAAGAACAGCAGTCGAACCCGAACGGGATGGAAGCCGAGTGACAGAGACAGAAAAGCGGACCCACTTTGGGGATCTGCCAGGGGGAATCTGGGGCGGCCACGACCCGGGGTGAGGGCAGAGCACCACCGCGGTACGGGACGGCAGGGACTGCACCCCGCGTCCCGGAAGACGCCACCACGACGATCGGGCAGGTGGCACGCGGACAAGTAGAGATTCCGGACTACACAGTCACTGGCCGGAAACTCAGACGGTCCCTTCTAAAATCAAAAGCTGTAAGACTTATATGTTCACGCTTGCGATACCCTTCCATCGCCACCTGGTGCCGCTGTTGCTACAGAATTTAGCCAACTCGCGTTTAAAATAAATGTCTAAAATCCACCCATGCTCTAATGAATATAAAAATTAAACATGTACAGAAATGGAAAAAGTTGTCAGTTTCACATAATTAAAAAGTATAAAAGCAGACACTTCCCCCGATTCTTAAACAAAAAGTAAAACTTCCAACGCTCGACACTTTAAAGAAGACCGGAGGATGGAGACGAAACAGCAGTGGCTTCAATGGCAACACAAAGTGCTTTGACGACAAAGACAGCTAAGGATCAGAGCCCCAGAGTGGCAAGCTGCCTCAGCCTCGGGAAAGGCATCCTCCACTGCAACAAGACAGTGAGATGGACAGCTGGGAGAAAAATCCAGTCCACACTGTGAGATTCGGGAGACCTATCCTGGGGGTGACCAGCAGATGGAGACATTGGCCCAGAAGCCAGGAGGAGAGCCGTCAGACAGCCACACCACGGGATTGTCACATGTCTACGATTAGCTCACAACCATTTGCTCTGGTGTTTATTCCTTGGAAACCAGGTTTCAATTATTTATAAAAACAAAGTGTGAGATTCAAATAAATAAAATTTATTTTCTCTTTAAAAAAATGAATGAAATTAAAAAGTGGAGATTACAGACAACATGCCCCTTGAAGATGCCCCTGCTATGCCCTCGGTTACCGCTGCCGCTAGCAGACGCAGATCTGATCGCTGACGCAGACCTCCAGCCTCGCACTGCACGGAAATCCCTGGGCGTCTGCCTGGAGGTAGCTTATACTGACCTGACCTAACCTGACTGAAACTCTACCCTACTGCATAACTACGATGAACCTATGTGTTAGAACTGTTTTTTTTTCACTTAAAGGGTAGGGGTTACAAGTTTGGTGGTGGTGGGGGGTAGGGGACAAAAAGATGCTGAACGTTTGTTTGCATGTGTGCGTTTGCTTGTGTGTGTGCGGTGTATTGTGTGCGCGTGTGTGGTATTTGCTTACTACAGTTTGGAGCCAATGACATTGGAAAAATCTGGAGGAATGGGAGGGTAGGGGAGATTTGACTGACAGACAGATAACAAGGGCTGTTCAGGTGCTGTTGCTGAGAGGTCCAGGTGCTGAGCTGGGCTGGGCTGCACTGTCTGAGACACTGCCCTCTGCTGGTAGAGAGAGAAAGCTTACGTTAGGTACTATTTTTTTCCCCATCCCCCTGCTCCACAATTGAATGAATGCAATCGCGCGAGCTTAGGACCCTGGTGCTGGGCGGTCTCGCTGACTTCCCCTTACATTAAGAACAAGTTTCACCTTTGTGCTTTCATCCCATGGAACTGTTTGCAAGATTCTCATCTAAAAGGCATACAAGAGTAGACAGGTTTTGGTATTGGGTTCAAGTTTTGATGTCTGATGTCTACCCTAAGCTCTACAACTAGTGACGAGATGACAGAAAGAGTCACACTAACATTAAGATATGCAAACAGGGCACATTCATGCTTAGATGAATTAATAATTCCATATTTAAGCAAACTTTTTGGACGGACTTAGGAGCCCACCTAAGCCATTAACAGGGTAATTGCAATTGGAAGGCTATTGAAGGGAAATTTGTTAATAAACGGAGCTGGTTTGACGACGGTGCATTACCGTGAGAGGGAGGTGTCGTCTGCGCGCGGGCGTGTGGAGGAATGAGCGTGGAGTTCAGCTGGGGCTGGATGGAGAGCTCTGCGAGGGGGGAAGAGGGTGCGTTAGCAGGGAGCAGCACGGCCTCCCACGCACTGACACGGCGAGGCTGTCACACAGCTGTCAGGTGTGCTCTGAGAAGCCTGGTTTCCCTCAAAAAAGAAGCATTTGGACCTTTTGAAATAAAATGCAGGTTCCCGCCAACTTGAGCGCCAGAGGACAGAGCAGCGGGACAAAGGAACATGCAGGCTTGCCATACTGCCCTCTATTGGACAATAAAAGTTATGTTTTAGCTGCTTGCCTAATAGAATAAGATGATTTCATTCGTCCCCATGGAGAAATTCTCTTTTCACCTCCCCAACCTTGCTGTCCACGAGACACACAGGGACAAATACCAGTGAGATCAAGCTTAGAGGTCACAGTGTAGGGTCACCCCTGGAAGGGGTGATTAAGGTCCTTGCTCAGGGGTCCAATAGCAGTATCAGTCTGCCAGCCCCGGGAACTGAACCAGTAACCTTCCGATTACAAGAACAGAAGTTCTAACCCACTGAACCACACACCTCCCCATTAAATTTATATGGTATATTAACTAGCATGTTGACTGTGTGCTTCCCATTAAGAGACGTTATCTCAATCCCTCCTCTATTAAGGTGGGCCTGCACCTTTTTACAGTGCGAGATATTTTACTGAATACCTGCCCTCCCTCACGATTGCGAGAGGACCGTAAAACTGCCGCCTTCTGTGGTGAACCTGAGATTTAGACACTGCACCAGGACCTGCTGAACAGCCTCTCAGTCTCCATATTAGTGCTAAACCCACCCACCCCATCCCAGAAACTGCACTGTGCAAAACATAAGGTCATTTTTTTTGGCTTTGGCCCCTCTGGACAGCAAAAAAGTACCACTGGCTACCAATGTGCGTAATGCTTATTCACACATTACTCAGGTTTAGTTCAAACAAACTGTTTATATTCAAACCTCATATACACCTTTATGACATGACCTGACTGGCTGCTGACAGTCTAGAGTGATCAGACTCTCTACAGGGTGCTCTTTTTGGACCTTATACTTCCTGTCCTTCATGTGAAATCACTCTTCCATTATACGTCACTTTTCACAATATGTAACACTTTACAGTGGACTTTGAGTAACATTTTACTTCATGTGTGAATGATCATGCACTAGTAAAAGCGTACTCGCTTTCATCAGCTCGGACTTCCGTGCGAAATAATGTGCATAAAACGAGGACGATGTGGTTGTCGGCAGCAGCACATTTATTCTCAAGAGATTACGCTGGTTTGCCGAGTCGCCATCCTAAGGGTCCTTTCTTAAATTTGCAGCCAAATACTGAAAGTTAATGATGGTCAGCTATGCTGTGTGAGCTGTACCAAGGGCCAGACCAATGGTGCTGAGGGTTTTCCATTGGAAACCATCTGAGCTGTACCTGCATTGATAGGGCCGAAAGTGTGACCAAAAGGAGCTGTCTGCTTCACCACCATCTGGAGGGGGAGGGGGGGGGAGCGGTTCTTTATCAAAAATAAAATCAGTCAGTACGTTTAGTCTGTGTCTGGGGGAGCGCTCATCTTCTGCTGCCGAGGCTCCAGCACACGTGTATGAATATTCACAAAGTGGTAGGCACGCCTCGTCAATCCCGAGGGGACACAAGGGTGGGAGTCTTTGGAGCAAATTAAACACAAAGCTGATTAATAAAAATCACTTCCATTCAGGCAACACTGGCCACCTTCACTGCGTTTCCCTAGGTACTGAGACCGGGGGAGGTCAGGGACGAGCCGAAACCTGCAGCTAACAGCAAATTAATCAGTCTGTTAATCAGTGCTGCGTCGGCATGCTAGACATTAGCGGCTGTGCCACAGAACGACCGGGGGGGGGGGATGGGAAGACCTACCCACGGGGCTGAAGTTGAAGAGCAGGGGCAGCTCCCGGCCACTGGGGAGCCGTGCACTGGGCTGCCGCAGCTCGTCAAAAAAAGCGTGGGCGCAGGCCTCCAGAGGGGACAGCCGTGTCACCGGCGTGTACTCCAGCAGGCGGGAGCACAGCGCTATGGCCTCTGGAGGGGTTCGCGGCTTGAACACCTGGGGGGACGGGACGGGGTAAGCACACACTCACCAAAAGCAGAGCGTGACAGCAGACACGGCGACCTACGGGACAGCCTACCTTCGTCCAGGGGTGTGCTTTGATCTGTGGAAACTTGAACTCCGTGTAGTTGGGGTTCATTTCTCGGATCTGTTCCCTTGTCGGGGTCCCCAAAACCTGAGGTGGAGAGTTATGGTGGTTGCCGGAGCTTAGGCTTGTAAATCAGTGTTACAAACCCAGCACAATGCAATGCATTTAGGCTACCAAACAAGGCGTTTAACCCACTCTGTTAAAGACCAGATGTGCCACCAGGAAGCCCAAACTCGACTGATCTCTCAGGCCAAGCCACACCATCCCTGGCTCACCTTGATGATTTCCACCAGCTGGTCCACTCCGCTGTCCCCAGGGAAGATGGGCTGTCCCAGCAGCAGCTCAGCCAGCACGCACCCAGCGGACCAGATGTCGATGTTGGACGTGTAGTCGGTGGCCCCGAAGATGAGCTCGGGGGCCCGATAGTACCGCGAGCAGATGTAGGAGACATTGGGCTCCCCACGGACAAGCTGCTTTGCACTGGGGGGAGGGGGAGCAGACAAAACAAACCCATTTTGTTTTGAAACAATCCTAGCTGCCGGAAAAGCTCAGACTTCGAACAAGTCACCGTCCACACTTGGTGCAGTCATCACGGTCGGCAAATAACTACGCAGTGCGAGAAGCCACGGGTGACCAATTGATGCAGGCTTTGATTATTAACCATCGTCAGGACTAACCGACATCTCCTAAATGGGGGGACTCACCTGCCGAAATCACACAGCTTGAGGATGGCAGTCTCGGGGTCCACCAACAGGTTCTGTGGCTTGATGTCTCTGTGACAGACCCCCTGGGAATGGATATAGGCCAGGCTGCGGAATAGCTGGTACATGTAGACCTAGAAGGGAGACAGGACAGCCTTAGGCACACAGATGGCAGCCCCAGACCACACAGGCACTGAAGGGACACACTTCACGTGGGGGGGGATTCATTTCTATGCCACAGAGGAGTGAGAGGAAGGCGACGGAGCACGGAGACACGAGCCTGTGGGCCGTGCAAGGACTCATTTACCACATAACAGTAGAGCCTGGACACAGAACAGGCCTAAGGGATGGAAAGCTGTCAGAACAGGAACAGGGGGTGGACATGCTGGGAGTACAATCTCAAGAGCTCAGACACCTGGGAACTGCTGGGACAGGATATACATGCCGGCAAGTGAGGTATCAACGGGAGCACATCCATGTCTGCAGCTACATGAGTCTCTATAAGATTACCACGGTAAAAGGCTATATGAACACCACCTAGACACCATTATAGAGGAGAACAGCTGCCCCCAGGGCTGGATTATGACAACAGGCCACAGCACGTTGGATTACAGCACAGCGTGATGCCAGAGGGGCGTTTTCCCAATAGCACAGACGAGCGCCACCCTCTCACTGACGCCGCATCACCTCAGCATGAACTGCGCACAGGAAAACCATGCGGGCCTTCAGGCTTCGCTTCAGCTTCCGTTTCCTGGAACAGACGGCTGTGATCGGGGGGGGGAACTGGAGGGTCAGTGACTTTGCAGTAACGCGACAGGTGGCTAAAGACCCGATGTTTGCCTGCAAAACGACTGATTCACCATCTTGGCCACTGGCCAGAGTAACACAAAGGATTAAGCAGGACTCACCAGCACAGTAGGCCTTTGGTATCTATCACTCGATCACCAGGAATTGCTGGGATGCTATCTACAAGCCACTGGCTACCCAGAGTTCGGCAATGAACAGTTCTTAGGGAAGTTGCATATGTCTCAGGCTAAGCACAGATCCCCGTGGAGGAACCCAGAAGGTACCACCCCCTGCAGCATGATAAGCTATCACCCAGCAAAACGCCAAAACATCCACTTTTTAAACCCCAGAGCACAGTCAGCAGTCCAAAGACATTAAAAAACATGAATGATGCCGGATTAAGGATTTAACAGATTTGTTGGAAACAGAGAGCAATCGATTAACAAGTACTAATGAACCACCAACCGATTTAGACCTGCAACCACGGCCAGGGCAGCCTTAGGAGATCAGGGAGATGGACCGTCAAACAGCAGGGTGACAGACACTGCAAGGGCAGCTTTGAGCACTGCACAGTCAGAGAACAGGCTTTAATAAACCGGCTTTCATAGTGACCTCCAGAATTTATGGCATCCTTGGTAAAAATAACCAAAAGAAGGCTTTGGGGAAAAAAATGCTTGCTGTTAGGGCTGCACAATTTGGGGAAAATATCAAATCGCGATTTTTCTGACAGAAATTGCAATTACGATTTGATTTGCGATTTAATTTTTTTATGTCAATATTCAATATTCAGTGTGTAGTAATTTTAAAACATATGACGCAGCATGAGATACCATCAGTATTAACTGGTCTATATTCTAATGCAAGGATGAGAATTTAAAGATGTGATGTGTCAAGTTAAAGTAATAATGAAAACAATTGCAGCAAAAAGAAAAATAGCGATCTTGCAGGTAACGCTTATTACCCTCCTAATAACACTAGAACCGCCTTTTCCCACCCAATGAACAAGCAAGAACTACTTCGGTGTATGCGGCCCTTTTGTTTGCGCTATTGTGTTGTTAGCTGCTGTTATTAACACTAATAACACTCAAAAAAAAAAACATAATATTCATAACAGAGTGGCTGTTCTGTCCTGAAACGGTAAAGCTGGAAATTTTTTAACGTAGTATGCATTTTATAAAATGTTGAATAAATAGAAGTAATTTACTGGTGATTTCATGTTGGTCGAAGTTTCCGCTTTTTAACAACTGTATATGGTTATTTTCTATACAAATCAATTAAGGTGAAACAAAAAATGTACGTGTTCATGGTTGCAAACTCTTTCAGACTCTCAAACAAGAAAACTAACGGCAAATCTATATTCCATTCTGAACTTAAAATTAGCTGCATCAAAAACGTTACGGCAGTTTACAAACCCTACAGACTATAAGGTAATAAAACTTACATACATGTAAATGTGTGCAGAACAGAGAACAGAAAATCTCCATGCAGCTGACCAAAGTTGCCAACCCTGCATTTTATTTTAAATGAGAAGTAAAATGCAGTTTTCAACTGAAGCAGCTTATCATTCCTTTGCTCTGTTACTCGGACAAATACAAAACGAATGATTAAACATTATATGCGTCTCTTTTTGTATGTTTTCTAAATAAGACCACGTGCCCAAACCCAACTGTAATAGCGATTAAAGAGATCTATTCTTTTAGTATTTATGTTAAAGCAAGAATTTTATTTTATTACTGTTGTGGGATTAATCTTTGCAAACACTTAAATTTAATAAGCACAAAAACATATGACAAACACGACTGTATTGTGGGTTTTACGGCTTTTTTGGAGGTCACCGACTCCGCTGATGTGAGAATTACTGACTGTCTCATTGTTGTTTTGATGGCTTAGCGGTATACTAATGCTATTGCCTATTAACAAAAACCAAAGGTATGATACGCTGAAGTATATTGCAGCTGGTGTTTAAATGGAGCGCCGGTTCTATTGATGATAGGACCTTCCTGAAACATTCTCGGACCATGAAATAGGAAGGCAATTCACTTATAGCTCAGTAGCGGAATCAGTATTTTTCTGCACCGCGAATGCAACATTTTCCTTGGGTTTCACGTGTTTGCTGTTTGTGGGCCTATACGCCTTCTTGGGCCACTTCTGATTGGTGAGCATGACTGGCACGCGAGAAGCACGGCACTTGTGATTGGTGAGAATGACTGTCACACAGGGAGCAAAGCATGAATCTGTAAAACTATTCTCACAGCAGTTTTAAACTCTGGGTCCGACGTGCTGTATGATGTATATCCTAAATCTCAATTTTTGCGACTTACTAATCGTGTTGTTTCAAATTGTGATTTCGATTTGAAATCGATATATTGTGCATCCCTACTTGCTGTTCATTAGCGCGATATATGTCCAAATAGATAAATCTAAGCTCTCACTGAGGTAAACTTCACAGAAAAGAAATAAAAATCACAGCACTAAGTCTTCTCTTTAGATGGCAGATGAGAACACATTTCAAGGGATTTGAGACCATTCTGCCACATGAAATCAAGATACTTTACAGAGTCAGACCCTGGACCTTACTTTTAGGATTCCTCTTCAGCTTGCACCACAAGTTCAGTGGTTTAGGTCAGGGCAGCGCTGAGAAATCTTGATTCCGTGGTCTGTGAAGTGTTTGTTTTTTTTTAGATGTGGAGGAATGCTTTGGATCTGACAAAGACTTAACTAAGACCAGTCTTAACCTCCTGGCAGACTGTGGCAGATTTGATGGAGACCATAATGCCATGTATCCAAACAGGATTCTCGGGGCTTTTGCAGGAAAAGCAGACCCACATTAGCGCATATCCACAACGCTTCACGGTGGGGATTAGGTGCTTTTCATCATGACCTTGACTTAACGCCAAACCCACCTCTGGTGTTTGTTGCAAAAAAGCTCTATTTTTGTTTGATTTGACAAAATCTACGTCCAATCAAAATTCCAGTAATATTTAGCAAACTCTGCGAGCTTACGTTTGCTGTTTGACGTCAGCAAAGGCTTACTTCTACATCCCTGCCAAATGTTTTTTGGATAGAGGTGGCATCTGGTTCTGAGGACTTGGTAACCTCAGGAAGCAATCAACTGCTGCACTGTATGTGGAGAACAGGATTCTACCAGGTAGAATTATCCAGTTATTCCAGACTTAATTATTGCTCTAATAGAGGAAATCGCAATTTAAGTTTGCAACTATTTTTTAAGGCATTGCCCAATTCACGTAGGTCAATAGCCTACTCATTTCATTCTCATCTTTGTGTTCTCTGGTCTTACCTGTGCGGATGGATACCTATGGGGGTTTGACCTGCATGTAACCTTATATTTATACCCCAGTGGAACAGAAAGTAGTGCATCACAGCTTTAGGGTCCCTAAAAATTGCTTGTAAAAGGTAACATATCAACGTGCAAATGTAGCAATTTGTTCAAGGGACTTTTCAGGGGTGCCAATAATGATTTGTATTTTGAGAAAGAAAAAAAAATCACATTTAATATTTGGTCCTTATTACCAAGGCTGCCAATGACTTTGGGAGAAACTAAGGATGGACTGGTAGATCTGTAGTGTGAGCAGGAATGTGCACATGGAGACAGACTGCAGATGATCAAAATCAGAATTAGACAGGATGCAACCAGCATTGAGCTCCTTTGCCACACTGAATGGCTTAAAGGACACTAAAGGTAGATGATCTGCTTCTACATAACACACACACCCGGTGTGATGTCCTCCAGTTTCAAAGGGAAAAGGGAGTGTAGTTACCTTGACATAGATGATGGGGATGGTGGTCTTGGCCTTGTTGAAGTGCCGGGCCACCCGGTACACCGTCTCTGGGACGAAGTCCAACACCAGGTTCAGGTAGACCTCATCCTTCTGCAGAAAGAAAGCTCCTCAAGATCAGTGCCTTCCCACGGCACAATAACAGCTGCACAGTCTTCAGGTTCTGTTCTCCAAGACAGAGGGCTTCGCATTATTCTGGTCACCATAAGCTATGCTATGTCAATCAGGATGATACCGTTTTACTGAGCTATCTATTCAGTAAAGCAGAAACACCAAGCTCAATGGTAAAAAAGCAGATTCCTTCTGAAATGTGCAAACTCTCAATGGTCACATAGAAAAAGTGGATTTTCCATGAACAAACACAACACTCTCCACTGATTTTCTCATAAGGATGCAGGGGCTTAAAGGAGGGTGAATCTGGAGCACGATAAAGTATCCCACCACCCCGTACTCACCTTCTCCCCACTCGAGTAGAAGAAGTAGCGCAGCCTCACGATGTTGCAGTGGTCCAGCTTGCGCATGATCTGCAGCTCCCGGTTCTGGGCCAGAGAGACACAGCAGAGGTTCTTAAAGTGTTAAAGCAGCATCTCAATAGCCCCAGTTTGAGGCCGGCACCCTTCTGCCTTCCGGTTGCACGTCAGGCACAGTAACACTGTGTCCTGATGCCTCGGGCGCATGTCGTTAGCCAAACGGGCCTCGCTCTCGGTACTCCCTGGGATTTCCCAGGCCGGCTGAGTGAGGCTGCCGCCAGCTGCATACCTTGAACCTCTTGTCCTGCAGGACCTTCTTAATGGCCACCATCTCCTGGCTGTCGATGAGGCGCGCCTGGTACACCACGCCAAAGGAGCCGTTTCCAATCACCTTGATGTCCGTGTAAGACACCTCCTGCGGGCGGTCGGGCCCCTGCCCGGGTGTGGCCACCACCGTCGTCACCTTGCCGCTGTCCCCTGGGAGAAGCACATGGGTTGCTGTGACATTGCAGGCGGTATCTCCTACACGCTTAAGTTACCCACAGATCCTTAGAGATGGGACAATGCGGTACTCGCTTATGCGCCGCTGCCTTGCCCGGAGGCCGCGGTCCTGCATCCCTGGGGGACTTACACATGGCACCTTCCTTCCAAAACCCAAGACCTTAGGCTCTCTGGATTGTGATGAGGCACCACATGGCTGACAGGAACTTGGGAACACATCGCCATGACCCGCGGAGTCACAAGAACAGTGGTACGGCCCTCCTGTAACCCAAACCAAAAATGGGCGTGTGTATGTTTCCCTGTTCTGATTGGTCGGATTATGACTTGGGCAACCCGATCCCCTTTGGCCGTCATATTTGCACACGTCATCCGACAATAAAAAAAAAAGAGGGAAAAAAAAAAAAAAGATCGACCAGGTGTAGGGTGCAGACTGCTGGGTAATGGAACAAGCAAGTCATCTGCGGCAGGCTGCCCTGCAGAGACAAGTGGTGCACTGCTGTAACGAGTGAGAGGGCTCATCTGCACAGAGCAACTCTGTCTGCATGCTGCTTCTAGCAGACGGCAGGCTTTTCTTTCATCTTAATGCCACTCTCTAAGGAGACGATAACCCCCGGAATGATGTCTTTACTGGAGCAGTCAGCTCAAGATGGACCGGCACCACCGGGAATGTGGACCATCCTTGCCACGAGCGCCTGTCTGACCAAACAAGCACACTGCTAGTATATGATTTTTAGTTCTAAAGGCATCTCCAGAACCGAATGGACTGACTGAGTTGACAAGTGATCAGCCCACTATATATGGTTGATTAATGTCTGTGAATGCAGATATTGTCCAAAAGGAAAAAAAAATTCAGCTCCGGTTTCTCTGTAAAAGTTTTCTCCTTAAGAATAACTACAAAGAACCCAAGAACAATTTCCAAAGAAAAAGCCACTAAAAGAAAATATTAAACATCTCTCACAGTATAACTGCGCTCAAACCGTACATTCAGGAAGAAATTCTAGGTCACATCCATAGGTACAAAGCAGATCTGCACGTCACATTAAGGACAATGCTGCCTACAGCGTTACACATGAAAACAGGAAGACTCACCTGTCCACAATTAAGCATTTGCCTCCATTCCAAAAACTCTCCAAATCATTAAAAATGAACATCAAGATATTCCCTTTAATAATAAATGCAATAATGAGTAGCTAAAGAATGTGGATCCCTTACGTTAATAAAACATTGATAAGCGCGACTTCTCACTTTCAGAGTAACCATCCCATTTATAACATGCAAATCAGTAACCTTCTCCAATCTTCTAAATTTAACACTGAGTTTACTGAATATTACAACAAAATACATGTACCCCCCTTCGTTAGCTGTACCACTGCTGGGTCCATCTCTCCCAGTTTGTTTTGAAAGCCGCTCAAATTAGGACCAATACATTTACGCACCAAAAACATTTGCCATTTTCTCTACACTGGGCAGAGCGACCACAAAGCAAGAAAAGCCAAAGTCCCAAATAGCAGAGATAATGTTTCTAACATTGCCCCTCAAACACCCTGTTGAATTAGAAATGCCTCATTATTCCCAGTCCCCGTGTTGATCTGCAGGGTCTATTGCTGATGGATAAGATAGATACAAAACCTTTTACAATAATTATTTAGAAAATGTATATCCAATTAGATTAAAAGATGACGCAAAACCAGAAGCACTGCAGCACTTACACTAGAGAAGGACTTGAGCAAACGCTTGCATTTACCATCAAAGCACTTTACAGTCAGGTTACCCAGACAAGACGCTGTGACTCTATACCGTAAATCTCTGCTGCCATAGCCAGAGACCAAAAAATAGATGACTTGATATCATCAGCTGCGTCCGACTCATTCCCCTGTCAACCAGGTAAAAAGAGGCATTAAACTTCAGCAGACTACAAGAACTGATTTTTTAAAAATCACTGCAGCACTTCACAGCCTCAGAATTATTTCCACTATTTATACATCACCATCACACCAAGCTCCTTTGTTTTTATACATGTCCAGCGATTGGCCCCAGCGCTGAGAGACACGACATACGGTATTGTTAAATTGGAAATTACAAAATCGGCAGGCTCACGTCAAGAAATTCCCAAAAAACAACAGGAGAGAAGATCAGAGGACAGGAGGACTCAAATATACACCTCAGTGTACCTGACATTGATACTGCGAGAATCTGAGCTGAGTCCTTGTCCTTTCAGTCCCTCAAAACCTGGCACACACACTCCAGCTGTGCCCCTGCTGTTTACACTGCCAGACTAAGAGTTATACAGCCAAGAGTGCACACTGACATGCTGCAGAAGTGCACCACCACTCAGGATGATTGTCCACCTTGCCTCAATTTTTCAACTAAGTGAAGCTCATTTTTGCAGACATGCAAAATTAAATTAGCAACACCTAACTCTTCACCAGTCTCTCTAATTACATCTGCTCCATAGGCACCGAAGTGGTGAGCACGAGTGCCGAGATCACAGTCACAGATTGATCCATCGAACCAATCCAAATCAAGTATTGCAATTGACCTTACAGCAATCAGGTGAAACTGAACCCTAGCTACTTATAAGTTCTCAACCATACGCATTCTCGTCCTACACTGGCCACTCACACCCCTATACACATCGCCTACACTGGCCATTCACACCCCTATACACATCGCCTACACTGGCCACTCACACCCATATACACATCACCTACACTGGCCACTCACACCCCTATACACATCGCCTACACTGGCCACTCACACCCCTATACACATCGCCTACACTGGCCACTCACACCCCTATACACATCGCCTACACTGGCCA